AAAACTCACCACTCTTATGCCAATACGGTCACAATGATGCATTTAGGTACCGAAAAGGAATTGCATGAACATTCATGTGCTGTTATGTAATACAGCGAATCGATAATAAAAAATCTGCGTCGACAAATTTACATAATCATTGATTATTTCAACTAATCGGTGCAGCCCTATCTCTGTCAGAGCCAAGCTGCTGCTGCTGCTGCCCCACCTCCTCCTGTCCTCTCTGGGACATTAACTCTTGGGAAAGTTTTTGTTTTTGTAACAAAACTAATAATTTACAAGAGTTATAGTTCTTCCGAGGTTTTATAAAAACAATGAAAAGTACAAAGAGGATGGGATTTGATGATTTAATTTTCTTTTAAAAATATTGGTTGATAAGAAACAAGTTTATTTTGAATAAATGTTATAAATGTGTTCATTTCTACAAGACTGTCAAATATATTTACAAAATATACTGAATTTTAAATGTTACTGATTTAAATGAGCAAAATTAAGTACTGTTTAATGTTTAACTAGAGAATTACATTTCCTGCGAAAATGCTAGTGTGAATGCTACTTGCTGAAAACTTAAGCTGAAAGCTGCTGAAATTGAGTTGAAAACGTTAAGTATCAAAAATGTTAATGCAGGTTCAATTTGAAAAACTGAAAGGAACAAAAAATCTTAAACTTTGCAGAAAAACAGTAGGAATGAGCATAAATATAGTTAAAAAAGCAGAAAACAGCTAAAATCTAAATGCTAAAAAACAGAATATAGCAGAAAGCAACTTTAAGAAGCATTAATAGCTGAAATTTGCAGAAATAATTACAGTAAATTTGAATTTTGCAGTCAAATAGCAGAAAGAAGCAGAATTTTAGCTAAAAATGCTAAAATTAGCATAAAAATATGTAGCAGAAACAAGTTTAAAGAGGCACAAAGATGGTGAACGTGTCATAAAAATATAAAATTTGCAGAAAAAAAGGCATAAAACCACTAGAAAACTCATCATTTGTAGAAAAATAGTTAAAACAGCTGAATTTTTCAGTAAAACAGCTAAAAAAATTGATTGGAAATGTTTTGATTAGCATAAGGAAGCATAAGGAGCAGAAGTTTGCTGAATTTAGCAGAAATAAGTTGTAATAGCCACAAATATTATGTAGTCAGCTTAAAAAAGCTAACTTTAGCTAATAATAGCAACAAGCTCTTACAATAACATGTAATTACATTACATCATATTTTCTGTTAACTTTTACCATAAAAAAACACAAGGTGGGCTGTCACTGCACTGCCAAAGCCACCCTATCACCAGGCTTAAACATTTTTCTGGGGGAAACCGTACTCTAAGTAATACCCATTAAACAACATTTTTGTCTAGTAAACCCATTTGTTAGTAAAATATCTAAAGAAACATTTAGAACGTCAAGTCACTAAGTCACTGGATTTTTGTTTACAGTGAATTAACTTCTGGGGTCAATCTAATTCAAGATGGTCAATATAAGCAGACTAAAYATTTAGACACTGGCTTAAAATACGGGACTGATGGCGACGCGACCTCAACCTAGAAGGCAGCGGGTGTTGGTGTAGTCCGCTCAGATTCAGCCATCAATACTTAATGCTAACAATTACTCACAATGCTAACGTTTGAGCTAGCATTATACTCTCTGGATTCTCAGGAGTGAAGGAGCCAAACGGCTGGCTGACTGCTGCGGGAGGCTAAACTATAACACAAAAATGAACCGCTGGCATCAAAGTTTACATACGAAGTCTTAATTACCGTATTTATTCATGTACAATACGATCTCATGTACAATATGATCTCATGTAATATGACCCCCACTTTTTTTTTTTTAGCTTAAAAAGCAGAGAAAAATTTAATCCTCAAACTACCTCCAATTTCATACAGATTTCAAGATTTTTCAGCCTTTGCAGTCTTTATACATATCAGTAAAATGATCATTGGACTGTTCATTTTATTTTAACAACATACACTCACCGGCCACTTTATTAGGTACACCTGTCCAACTGCTCGTTAACACTTAATTAC